GCCCCCTTCCTGCCGACGTCGCCCTCATCATTACCGGGACCCGGGTGGGAGACGTGTCGGCGTCCCAGGCTCTCGCTGCGAGATGCGTGCCGGACCTGATCGCCATTTTCGAGGTGTGCCGGACACCGGACTCGGACTCGAGACGGGACTCCAATTTCCTGCGATCGCGGCATGTAATTGGACCAAAATCTCCAATTAAAGTGCATCAAAATGTTGCAGATCGCATATGAGAACGAACGGTGGCCTCACATGTCCCTGTGGGCGAATATACTTAATCCACAGCGATATTCGCCGGTCTAATTAATGCCGTTAGGATCGCCTTCCGCCATCAAGGCGTGCCTTTCGTTCCGGTGGATGAGGCGGAAGGGGCCATCCGACGGATAGCAACGGCGCAACCACCGTGATGCGCCGCCACGGCTAACCGCGGCCCCCACCCCCATCGCACACCGGACACACTACAGCCGTGTACGCGCCACCAACTGCTGTAGCGGCACCGCCACCGCCACCGCCACCGCTCCTTCATTCCCCGTCATAAAGCGTCTGCGCCATGTGATTCGAAGGCACATCAAAATGAATGCATTATTAATACGGGCGTCCCGTCCATTGATATCTTTTAATCGGTGTACGTGTGTGGTTCCATCGGCATTGAGTTCGGGTTCCATCAAGCCCGATTGCCGCATGGGAGCACGTGATTGGGGGACTGTAGGCGACATGACTGCCACGAGAAATTGGGGTGACCATTGTCGTGACATCGAACGTGGATGCGGATGCCGATGCGGATGTTGATGCGGATGAATGTGTTTGGTGTGCGTTAGGGAAAACTGTGGTCTCCTCCTATCTTTATTGAGCTGACGGAAACCCGAAATCACTAGCGAGAGTGTAAAGTATTGTCTTAGGATTACGACGAAAACATGGTGTCACAATCCTTGTTTGACCGTAGCAGGACATGTTGTCGTGTGTACAATGGCCACTGACGATGAACACACAAATGCACATTTGGTCAAATGTGTGGAGATAAGACTCGACCGGCTGCAGTGGATCGATAAATGGGACCCATTGGAATCGACTCGACTCTTGGTGCACGTTGGGCCCATCTAAAAAGAAGGAAAGGTTGAACTTGGTTTCAAATCAGTATTTTGATTTTAGAATACGAGACATTATTGATAACCTTTGATGACCCTCCGATCATCCCTAAGAAGGTGGAGCTTTCAATTTTCTTATTTCATGGATGACACCAGGGTGTGAGGTAAGTTTGATAGCAGCTCTCCAACTTAGTTTCCTTTTTTCCCTAAGCAAAAAAGGAAAAAAAAATTATCTCTAGTGATTGAATGTAGTATAAATACTAAAAATGTATAATTAAGGATTTTCTAACTTACTTAAATTAGAGTTGAATTAATAAAAAAATCACATATATGAAAGTTTTTAGGTAAATATTTTAAAACATCATGTTTTTATTTTTTTTCTTATAAAGTGTTTTCTTTTTATTTTATTTCCATAGAACGTTTGTTATTTTTTAAGATATGAAATTATCCCTAATCTTATCTCATCGGCTATTGTTGGCCATCTCTGTCCTTACTTTATTTAAGAGTTTTAATTAAGAAAGAAAAAAACATAAATATGAAATGCAACTTATAGTAAAGATGTTAATTTTATTGTTTAAATTAGGGAGTTTCTTTACTTAAATTAAAGTCGAACTAAGAAAAAAAATTATAGAGATGGAAAGTTTTGTGATGCGATAATTATTTTTGAATAATTATAGAAGGTCGATCAACTTTATAGATGTTATATATTCTTCGTATATATGTCATGTGTTCTGCTATCATCAAAAATAAAATAAAATAATACTTACATGATCTCTCCTACCAAACTATGAGTTTTATTTTTTGATCGATTACGGATTGAAGAAAGCATTCGATAAGGATTGGCTACATGTGATTTTCATGACATAAGACATTTTTGTGTATTTGAAACCTTAATTTTCAGATTAAGTATAACATTTTTGGCCAACAAATAACATTATAATTTTTGGACAAAATAATGGCCACCTGTGAACTAATGTTTTCTTAATAATTATTGATGCCACATAACTCAATAAAACTCATTTGTCTATTTAATTAGTAGCATGGTTGATGAGGACATGCACATTACAAAGTTGGCGTGGCACAATAACATCGATGCGTTTTGGGTAGATAATTTTGCGAAGATAACAAGTGCATGGCTATCACAATACCACATCAACATGAGATAATAACGCAAAATGGAATTTGTTTGCCTATCACAATCCATGACCATTTCACTACAGTTCATCAATGTTTCCAATCACTTACTACTTGGACCACTCGACTATCCTCATTCTTCCCCTTCATTTTGCTTCACCCAACCCTAACGTTTTCTGGCCGCCAAAGCATAACGAAAGTTGCAGGCATTTGACCCCGAGGATGGAGACGGGAACCACTGTAAGTGGCCGTAACATACACGCATGTAACTCGACATGGACGAGAGAGACTTTACGTGCTCAACTTTTCTGTCCCAACGTGTAAAAGCTCCAAGCTTGTAGATAAGGTGGTGCTGCTGTTGGGGGTGAGCTTCCAGGAGAGTGGGGAAGAAGGGCTGTGTCGCTGCTTTGACCTGCTTTGCATTGGCCACGCATGGCTGGTCTTTTCCAAGAGGAGATCTGATCTCGAATAGGATTTGATAAAAGAGGAGATCTGATCTCTAATAGGATTTGGTAAGTTAATATTTGATCATTATTGATATGATTCTATAAATTTATAAGGAATTATTTATTTTAAATATACCCATATATGATTTTATCATTTCAAGATTTACGAGTCTCAAAAAAATTAAAAGTTAAAATGATTCTATGAACTTATAAACCTTTGATTCTTCTGCTCTTCAATCAATATAAAATTAAATATTCTTATTAGTGCTCGTTAGATAAGAGAGCCAAAGGCTTATAGATCTCTTTTTTACGTCAAAATATTAATAACTTAATGTCATGGATCAGGAGTCGATATGATTTTGTTTTGTCTTGAAGGCGTGAAATCGTCTATTGAGTCTTCTCAATGGAGGGATGGAGTGGTTGAGATCGAATAAGAATTGGCGAGGGAGATTATGAGATTATCCCGAGATGAAGCTGAAATATATTCGATTTCCATTGAAACCCTACACAATAGGTCGATATGGGAAGGGATTCTCAATCAAACCCCTTCAATGCTTAAGCTGATGAAAAATTGATTCTATATATAGTGGGTGCTTTTTGAGATCAGTCTCCTCAAGTATAGAGGACCAATTTTTATACCTACAAAGTTGGTCAGAGAAAATTACGACTACGAAGGTCGCTCATACCTCCTGCAATACATTCAAGTAGCCGACCCGTACAATCCCCTACGTTGTGGGTTGATCTATCAAGACTTCTATGGTACGACTTTGATCCGTATTATTCTGTATAGTGTTGGACTGACAAACGATGATGAGTGTAGATTGGTAACCTAGTTCTCTCACATGTCATACAGATGTTACATTGTTCTTACGTCAGTTCTCCGATAGCTATTATCGATGACCTAGTTCCTCTCCTTTTATTCTGTGCACTTCTGGTCGCCGGAGGAGGAAAGGTGATTAGGTTGGAGCGTGATGCTATAAAGTTTTCTTGCTATACACCTCCATGGCGGCATTATGTCCGCCCAAAGTGGGATTTCTGCGTCGTTTCCTCAAGACTGGTTCATGCACTTGCTTTCACGCTTGGGGTCGGTTCGATGAACTTTGCACTCGTCCTCAACATGACTTGAACTGCACACAGTGTTCCAACTGTATATTATATACTTTGTTGGTAATAATTGCCTTTAAGTGCACTGACCTCTTCCGTGACTGAGACAAACCACGTCGCTTAATCCATTACTTGCACGGATGAAAGAGCCCATTTGTCACATACAACAACGTCAAAACATTATCGTCCTGTTATGAATACTAATCGTAAATATGGATGCAGGAAATCAAATCAAAATGTGTAAACTTAAATGCATTTAAAATAAACTTATAAGGTCAGATAAATATATTATTTACCTTGGTTTAAGTATTTTGTGTCATATGGTTCAAGTTAATGGGTAGTATAGTTCGTGACAGATACGAAATCATCAAATTATCAAATTAATGCCATGTTAATTGGAGGATAAGTGTGATTATATATTATACTAGATGAATATATTTTTTGGTATCTTGTGTTCAAAGATTTCGGGTCGTATAATCAAGGCTTTCGTTTCATCACGATATGATCTAATGGTTAAATAGGGTATTTTCTCACTTAAGGATTTATCGTTCTCATCAAAGTTCATCCGTTATGTTATAATATACTAATTATTAATCCAATCTCGGACAAATGACATGTTAACTATCATTGAGCTTATACTACTAATTCAAAATGGTTAAACTAAAACCAGTAATAATATACCTATCAAATCATTATAAATTAATATTTAACTTATTTTTAATGTAAAAATAAATTCAATAATTACAAAATATAATGAGAGGATCCAAATAATAAATATGAAGACTTTTGTTGTCTTCACGTAGGCCTTGGTTGGTATGCAAGTGTGTTTTTCTGTTTTGTTATTATTTAGCGTGTGAGAAATTTATGACAGTAATAGGATTAGGTTTTTATGAAACCAAACATACTTCTATCTATATTTTTATCTTTTTTCTCTTTTATCTGATTCTTCTCTGCTTCTAATCTCTTCTATATCTTTTTTTCTTAGCAGTAGAACTGAGTTCTTTCTCTTGTTTGCAGAAGTGGGTGAAAAGTAGCCTTGGCTGTGTTCAAATAGGTATTTTTAGACTTTGTTGAGGTATAATCTACACACACACACACACTCTCTCTCTC